TTCTAATCTGTTCCACTGATCCTTAGGTCTGTTTTTTTTTTTTTTGCCAGTACCATGCTGTTTTTATCACAGTAGCTTTGTAGTATAATTTCAAGCCAGGGATTGTGATGCTCCCTGCCTTGCCTTTGTTGCCCAGAATTGCTTTTGCTATTCTAGGACTCTCCTGGTTCCAAATGAATTTTAGGATTGTTTTTTCTAATTCTGTGAAGTATGCTATTAGTATTTTGATCAGGATTGCACTAAATCTGTATAACAATTTTGGAAGAATAGTCATTTTTACTATATTGGACTTTCTACCCAAGAATAAGGGATATCTTTTCATTTTCTAGTATCCTTTTCAATCTCTTTTTTCAGAGTACTATAGTTTTCAATGTAAAGGTCTTTTACTTCCTTTGTTAGACTGATTCCTAAATATTTCTTTTTTTTTTTTTGGATGCTATTGTGAAAGGTGTTGTTTCCCTAATTTCTGTCTCAGTAAGCTTGTTATTTGTGTACAGGAATGCTATTAGTTTTTAAGTGTTGACCTTGTATCCAGCTATGCTACTGAATTTGGTTATTAAATCTAAAAATCTTTCGGTGGAGTTTTTGGGGTCTTCCGTGTAGAATATCATGTCATCTGCAAATAATGATAATTTAACTTCTTTCTTTCCTATCCTTATTCCTTTTATCTCTTTCTCTTGTCTAATTCTTCTGGCTAATGTTTCCAGAGCTATATTGATTAAGAGTGGTGACAGTGGACATCGTTGCCTTGTCCTTGATTTTAGAGTGAAAGTCTTCAGTTTGTCCATTTGGTATAATGTTAACTATTGGTTTGTCATAGATGGCTTTTATCAGATTGAAATAAAGACCATCTATTCTAATTTTTATCATGAATGAGTGTTGGGCTTTGTCAGATGCTTTTTCTGCATCTATTGCGATGATCATATGGTTTTTGTCCTTGGCTCTGTTAATACAGTGTATTACATTTATTGATTTGCATATGTTGAACCATCCCTGCATCCCTGGGATGAATCCTACTTGGTCATGGTGTATAATCTTCTTGGTGATTTGCTGCATTCTGTTTGCCAGTATTTTATTGAAGATTTTTTGCATCAATGTTCATTATGGAAATTAGCATATATATTTATGATTGATAGGTGTTCCTCTTGGATTACTCCCTTTGCAAGGATGTAGTGACCTTCTTTGTCTCTCTCTCCCTCTCTCTCTCTCTCTTTTTTTTTTCCTGTACCAGGGATTGAACTCAGGACTTTGGCCTTGTGAGGCAGGTGCAGCACCACTGAGCTAAATCCCCAGCCCCTTCTTTGTCTCTCTTAGTCAGTCTTGGCTTGAAATTCACTTTGTCTGTAAATAGAAGAGCTACCCCTGCTTTTTGGGGGGTTCTTGTCACATGGAGCATTGCTTTTCATCCTTTGACTTTCAGTCTGTGAATTTCTGTTTCAATTAAATGTGTTTCTCGTATGCAGCATATTTTTGGCCCTTGCTTCTTGATCCACTCTGCCAGTCTGTTTCTTTTAATTGGTGAATGGAGAGCATTTACATTGTTGGTTACAACTGATATGTACTGACTTATCCTTATCATGTTATTTTCTTTTTTTTTTGTGGTCCTGGGGATCGAACTCAGGTCCTTGTGCTTGTGAGGCAGGCCGCAATGCCACTGAGCTAAATCCCTGGCCCAGAGGTTAATTTTGTTTGTTTGTGTTTTTTGTTTTTGGTTTTGGTTTTGGCTTTTTGGTACTGGAGATCGAACTCAGGACCTTGTGCTTGTGAGGCATGTGCAGGTGCCACTGAGCTAAATCCCCAGCCTCTCATATTATTTTCTTCTTGTTGGTTCCTTTTTTCCCCCTCTGTTTAATTATATGCCTTGCCTGGATTCATTCTGTTGGAGTTCTTGGAATTGTAATCCTGGTTATCTCTTTCTAGAATGTCCTTCAGAGCTTTTTGGAGTGCTGGTTTGTTGGTCATGAATTTCTTCAGGTGTTCTTTGTCATGGAAGTATCTTATTTCTTCATCAATTTTAAAAGTTCATAAATTTTGCAATCTAGGCTTGAGGTGTTTTCTTTTAGGACTTGAAATACTTCACTCCAAGCTCTCCTTGATTTCAGGGTTTGTGTTGAGAAGTCTGACGTGATTCTGATGGGCTTTCCTTTAGAGGTGATTTGTTTCTTTTCTCTCAACAGCTTTTTTTTTTTTTTTTTTGCATTTCCTAAATCTTGACTATTATATGCCCTGGTTTTTTTTTTTTTTTTTTGCATTGTGGGTAATTGGAATTCTGTATGCCTCACTTACCTGCTTGTCAAATTTTTTTTTCCATGCTTGGGAAGTTTTCTGCATTATTTCTGTGAACAGGTTTGTTTTTTTTTATGTCACTTGCACTATCTCCTGCTTTTTCATTGACTCTGATCAGTCTTATGTTGTTATTCTTTGCATCATCTAGCAGCTGTTGGATTGATTTCTTTTATATTTTTGGTACTGGGGATCGAACTTGGGTCCTTGCACTTGCACAGCAGGCGGCGAAACCACTGAGCTAAATCCCCGGCCCATGTTGGATGGATTTCTCATGGTCCCCTGTTTTTGTTTTTGGTACCAGGGATCAAACTCAGGACCTTGCGCTTTCGAGGCAGGCACGGTGCCACTGAGCTGAATCCCTGGCCTTGTTATTTTTAAGAAAACTTCGGGCTGGGGATTTAGCTCAGTGGTTCTGTCACCTGCCTCACAAGAGCAAGGTCCCAAGTTCAATCCCCGGTATGAAAAAAAAAAAAGAAAACTTTCTTTTCAGGATAAGTAACTGCAATCCTGTCTTCTATATCTGATATTCTGTCCTGTTGGCTCATTCTGCTGTGTATACTTTCAATGGACCTTTTTTATCTCCTGGATATCTGTTTAAATCTGTTTCATGGATTCCATTTCTTTCCTATGCTGAGCATTTATAGTTTCCATTATTTTCTCTGAGCTCTCCTGTTTTATTATCTATATATGCTCTAGAGTCACTATCCATGTCTTTCATTATGGTCACCATCTCTAGTTATCTGAGAAACTACTCCTGATTTGATTTTTTCTAGAGCCTCATTCATCTGTTTTGTTATTTCCGCTGTTAACCACTTCAGAGAGTTCATGTGGGTGGCTTTTGAATTGTTCCACCTCATTGCCCTCTGGGTTTGCCTTTGGTGAGCTGGAAGTCTGAGGTTGCATCTTGTTTAAGTGTCTTCTTATATTCTCTTTTTTTTTAGTTCCTAGATTGGTGCTTGTAATTGCTCATGGTAGGTAGCTTTATTGGTAGTATTGAGAACCCTTAGGTTGAGGAGGAGAATGAGATAAAATAAAGTAAAATTGATTTTTTAAAAATCCTACCTCTTCAATTATTGAGAATGAGCAGTTACTGCCTATTTGGCCCAGCCCCTAATTTTTGTCACTGGCATATAGTGTTGTTTGGGACTGTTAGGCAATCTCAGTCTCGCCTCCTCTTCCTTCTGCACTGAGGTCTGTCTTCCCTGTCCCTGTGGGCTTCAATTCTCACTTCAATCCTTGCTGGGTCCAGAGGACCCACTTCCCTCCTTCTCTTCACATTGCTATATTCCAGCATCTCAACACCAAATTTTGGAGAAACTGTTTCTCTGCTATTCACCACTCCACCATCTTCCTGGAAGTCTCAACTTTTTATTATTATAACAACCATTTTGTTTGTTTTTTTGTTGGTTTTGGTTTTGGTTTTTTAAGACAGGGTCTCACTATGTATTTCAGGCTGGCCTTGAACTTACTGTGTAGCCCAGGGTGGCCTTGAACTTGCGTGATTCTCCTGCCTCAGCCTCCTGAGTGTGGGGATTATAGGCATGTGCCACCACGCCCAGCTTATAACAACCTTTTGAGTAAGAATTATTGCCATCATTTCATAGATGAGGAATGCCTCCAGTAGTTTCCCTTCTTAGGCCTCAATCCCTTCCCCATCTCTATTTTTTTTCCCTAAGATCATATATTGTCTTGTGCCAAATTCAGAATGCTATGACTGGTTCTAAATGGCTAACAAAAACATTTATATTGTTAGATTCTTTTATTTTTCTCCTTTCTTTCTTTCTTTCTTTTTTTTTTTTTTGAGACAGGTTCTCTATATCATCTAAGCTGACATTGAATTCCTGGGCTCAAGCAGTCTTCCTGCCTCAGCCTCCCAAGTGCTGGAACTATAAGCATATGCCTCTGTATCCACTTTATATTAAATAAATTCATGTATTCTTCTCACTTAATTTCCATCTCATTTTGCAGATGAGCAAATATACCTAAAGAGGTTGAATAGTGTGTCCAAATTGCTCAGCTAATGAATGACAGAACAAGGGAATGAACACAAGTCTTTCTAAGACTGCTGCTTTTCATTCTGCCAGTAAGGTGGAGCATCACAGGAAGATACCCATATCCTTTCTGCTTTGCTTGGGACTAGCAGATGAAAGTGGACCCAAGTATACTTTATGTGCCCAGATCAAAATGGCACATAAAAAGATGTTTGCAAAATAGAGATAAAATCAAAACCTGCTCCTAGTGCTTTGCAAAACTAGGGTTTGGAAAGTTGCAAAAACAAGTAATAAGATTGTGTCCCGTAACTTTCAAGACTAAGGTCACACCTCATGGCTGGGGTAACAGACTTTTCCTGCATCATGGCTGCCTGTCTGGCCTCACTTTCTGCCCTGTCGATCCTCAATCATCTCTGCTTGTGGCCATACCATTCCCTTTGCTTGTGTCCCCTTTCTCCTCACCTTATGTGCCTGTTGCTACTGTACCTCAGAACTCAGCTCACACATCACCTCTCTGGTTTAATGTCCCCTGTGATCCTTGAATAGCATAGTCAGTAGAAGTGAGTCTAGAGTTTGACATTCAGCTGTCACTTGCTCACACAGTGGATGTTCTTGCCCAGGTTACTTAATTCTTTCTAAGCCTTAGTTTTCCCATCTATAAAATTGCAACACTGCCCCTACAAGGTTATCATAAAGATTTAATGAAGCTGGGTGTGGTGGCACCCATGGATAACCCCAGAGGCTGAGGCAGGAAGATCATGAGTTTGAGGCCAGACTGGACAACACAGCAAGACCTCGTTTCAAAAAAACCAAAAAAAGGAGGCAGGCCTGGTGGTGCACACCTATAATCCCAGCACTCAGGTTGCTGAGGCAAGAGGATCTCTGTATGTTCAAGGATACCCTGAAACACATAACAAAACAGTGTCACAAAAAAAGAAAAAAACAAATGAAGTAATAAAATCAGGTTTTCTGGAACATGGTAAAAGTTCAGTAATTGGCTGCATCTTTTACTCTCATGGCTTTTCTCAAACCATTAGTTATATATTATTTTATTTGGAGAAATTGTTATATATTAAATATCTAAAATCTTAAAAACTTGCTAGTGGTTATGTATCAGAAATGTTAATTCAGTGCTGGACAGAATGGTGCATTCCTGTAATCCCAGCTACTCTGGAGGGTGAGGTAGGAGAATCACTATGAGTTTGAGGCCAGCCTGGACTACATAGTGAGTTCAAGGCCATCCTGGACTGTATAGGGAGACCCTGTCTCAAAAAACCAAAGGAAAAGATAAAAATAAAAAAATAAATTAAAAAAGAAAACAAAGAAAAGAAAACAGTGAGACACTTATCTCCTAAAAGAAAAAAAAAAAGGAAGAAAAAAAAGAAAAGGAAATATTAGTTTAGGTAAGCTTTAGAAAAAAATAGAATATTCCCTGTCTTGATATAGGTGTAGCTACAGGAGAGCCCTGGTGAGTTCATGAATTTGGGAGACTGTTTAGTTCTCTGATACCAAAACATTTTTCACTGTGCAATAATTTCTTCTGGTCACTGCCTTTTTTCCTTTAGATTACAGAGCTGAAGGCTGATTTTCAGTACCAGGAATCTCAGATGAGGGCCAAGATGAACCAGATGGAGAAAACCCACAAAGAAGTCACAGAACAATTGCAGGTGACTCTGCTTACTCTGTGTGGTGATCTGGGGTAGTTGCCTGACTGTATTTTAAGTATTCTTCTGAAAAAAAAAAAATTTCAAAATATTGACAAATTCCTTTTTTGGATATATTTTATTGTTTTACTCTTGAATGTGTTCTGATCTTTTCCTCTCAGAAATAGTAGAATTAGGGCTGGGGATTTACCTCAGTGGTTATGCTCCCTACCTTGCTAGCGCAAGGACCTGAGTTCAATCCCTGGTACCAAAAGAAAAAAAAAAATAGTAGAATTAATAAATGTGTTTTTTGAGTTTTTTAATGTACCAGATAGGATTTTAGGTGTCTGAGTTACAGTTTCTGTTCTTCCAGTTCATTAAGGCCCTCCTTGGTTTGTTTGAACTGAATAAAGCACCTTTTTAAAACAGTGGGCCTATCACTTCTCAGCCTTCTGGCTAAGATCAAGTGTAAGCAGTGGGCCTGCCAGGCGTGGTGCACGCCTGTAATCTGGCACATGGGAGGCTGAGGCAGGAGGATCACTGAGAGTTTGAGGCAAGCCTAGGCTACAAAGTGAGTTCAAGGCCAGCCTGACCTACGTAGTGAAACCCTGTCCAAATAAATAATAAATACATTTTTTAAAACACAACAATGAGGGCTGGGGATTTAGCTCAGTGGTTCCAGCGCCTGCTTTGCAAGCGCAAGGTCCCAAGTTTGATCCCTGGTACAGAAAAAAAAAACAAAACCCAACAGTGGATCTAAAGAGATTGAGATTCCCCCATTAGCCTCTGAAGTGTCAAACTCTGGAGCTTTCTGTTATTTTTGAGCTCTGAAATTAGTTTTGTTCATCACTGCTTGATCCTCTACGTTGTCTGATTTCACATCTGCATGGAATATTTATCCTATTATTTATTAATATTATCCATTAAACTTAATTTAATTTTTTTTAAGGCCAAAAACCGAGAGCTCCTGAAGCAGGCAGCTGCCTTGTCCAAGAGCAAGAAGTCTGAGAAGTCAGGAGCTATAACCTCTCCATGACAGACCACAGGCTGCTCCCCAGCAACAGCAAATGGAGTCACCTTGGGTTAGGGTCGGAGACCTGGCTGTTCTCTGGGAACTGCAGGCTTTCTTACAAAATCTCTATTTTATTATAGTTACCCTTTTTGTGGTGGGCTGAATGGAAACACCTGGTTTATGCTGTGTTAGGACTGCATGCTTGAGTGTTTGGGTTTCAGGCTTGCCTCTTCTTTCTCTCATCTGCTCCTTCTACTCTTCTTCCTCCTCTCTACCTCCTGCCTCTCCTGTCTTCCTTTCTCTCTTTTTCTTCCCCCACCCCCCCGCCTCCTTCTTTGTCTCTGTTTTGGTACTACTCTTTGTCTTTTTTGTGGTGATCACTGCTCAGTGTTATGTGCAGAATGATTTTTTTCTGTCCATCAGTGCATCCTGCCATACCCGTGAGCAAACAGTTTGGCATTAATTATCTATCACTGCCACCTCTGAACTTTGGAAAACTGCCACTTTAAGACTGGTACAATGAGAGAGGTTTCCTCTCTCCAATAAACCTTTTGCTTCAGGGTATACTCTTGGGTTTTTTTCCAGGTATATTATGTATGAACTTTGTACTATGTATAGCCAGAGTTTTATTTATTTTTTAAAAAAAGAAACTTTTTCTTGACAAAGGAACAGTGGTAGCCTAGATAGTTCTTGTAAAAGTGATGCCTCTTTGCGGGGGAGGGACAGTCCTATTCTCTAGCTTTTAGTAAAAGAATCAGATCTTTTGTTTCTTACTTTAGAGTCTTTAAAACTGATTGCTAAGCTGAATTTAATGCAGAAGTGTGGAGTTAAGTGCCTTTTGGAGGATTTCTTAGAAGAGCATTTAAGGAGATACTTAAAGGTGGTTGCAAAGATTTGAACAGTCTGTCTTTTTAAGTAAGGGCAGAAAGAATGGTTGTCCAGGTTGTACTGGACACTTCCCTCCCCCACCCCTTTCCTTATTCTTTTACATGATTGATTTTAAAGTCTCACACTGCCACTTCCTTTTGTTTTTTAATACCCTTTACCTTCTTATCAGTTGTCATACTGAGCTATTGTCAGAAAACTCTTTTTACATGAGCAGATTCAAAATGGGGTCTTGGACAGGGGGCATAGCTCAGTGTAAAGGCACTGAGTTCAATCCTCAGTAATGAAAAAAAAAACAAGATGGGGTCTTTGAACTATAGAGCATTTCTGGGGTCAGTACAAGCTACTGAAGAATAGGCTGTGGGTCTTACTGGGAGAAACGATGTCACGGTACCTTCTTCCCACTCCTCTGCACCCACCCCAGCCTGTACACTTCCTGTACAGTGGAAATGTATTGGAAACAGGTGCTTCTTAGAGGCCAGGTGGCTTTGACCAGAGTCGGGAGTGCTGTGTTTCTCTTCACCCAATAGGCATGTGGATTTACTTTTCCAGGAAAGGGGATACATTTGCATTGTTAGCCATACTCTCAGGTCCTTAATGTGATATTTCTGAAAGAAATTAGGGATGTGTAGTATGTGCCATGAAACAGGACAGAACTAACTACCCTAGAGTCATTAATGCAAAGGGGCATTAAAGGTAATCATGAGGGCAGATGACATTTGCACCTCAGTCTACCAAAACTGTAGCAGTAAATTTAACTTGTTAAAACCAAATGTTCCATAATTTAAAATAGCATTTGCGTTAAATGGAGCCATGCACATAATTGGACAAAGATACAAAATGGATGGCTTCCTTCTGATACAATGGACCATGTTATTTATATATCACCTAGTAGGGGATGTAATTTTTTCCTTCTAAGCAAGGGAAACTACAGTGCTAAATAGTTCTGTAACTTTTTGAATGAGAAACTTTTAGGTAGAGATAAAACCGTCAGATAATATTTTTCAGATGCATTTGCATTGGGAAAAGATTGTGAAAAAAATGACAGTCATGATTTTTTTTAAATTTCAAAGACTGAGAAATTCTGTTATGTGAAGTATGACAATATAAAAAACACATTTAGTTTTATACTAAATCTCTTTTTAATGGCTTGGCATTTAATATAAAGCAAATCCACACATTTTCTAACTTTCCATAAGTTCTTAAAAGGGAAAGAAGAAAACTCAGTCTTAAAATTTGGTTTTTAAAAATCATGATACTGTTTACCATAAAATTGAGTAGCTAACTTTTGGTAACACCTTTTGTTTCTTTGTATGTTTATAATAATGGACATTTTAAAACACAGGAATGTTTTGGTTTGTACAGACTTTGACAAATGTGTGTTAATAAAAATTCATATTGACAAGTAAAATTTTTGGTTTTTGTTTTCCTTACCTCCCTTCATCCCTTCTTTCCTTGGAATTTTAGAATTGAACCCATGCCCTTTCCACTGAGCTACATCCCAGCCCTTTTTAAAAAAATTTTGAGAGAGGGTCTCACTAAGTTGCCTAGGCTAGGCTTGAACTTGCAATTCTCCTGCTTCAGCCTCCAGCATGCTGAGATTACAGATGTGTGACAATCCCCCCACCCCCACCCTCTTCCTGCTTCCTTCCTTTCCTTTTTTTCTTCCTAGGAAATTGAATCTAATGCTATATGCATGCTGACAAGTGCTCTACCACTGAGCTACATCCCCACCCCTTTTTGCTTTGGAGATAGGATTTTACTACATCAGCCAGGTTGGACTCAAACTTTCAATCCTTGTGCCTTAGCTCCCAAGTAACAGCAAGATTCAAAGGCTGAAGGACACTCCATGGGGTAGAATCTCCTCTCCAAAGGCTCAGTTTCCTTCTACTGTAGCACCAGTGAATGGGGGTCTGGTTGTGCTATAGAGAACTGATGTGACCCATAGGTTCACCCTCCCCAGCATGGCGGCCTCAAGATCATGGACTTCTTACCTGGTACCTCAAGACTCCAAGCTCACATCCGCCATACTCTACTGGTCAGAGCAGTTAGAAAGAAGCCCACCTACATTTAAGGAAAGGACAAACAGATCCTTTCCCTTGAAGGGAAAGTGACAAAGCAGAAAAGCTATTGTGGTGGCCATCTTATACAATCTGCCACACAGGGAGTGAATTCTGAAATTAAACCAGACCTGAGAAAGCAAGACAAAAGCTCTAACTTTATTTTTTAAAAATACTTTTGGCACTACTGGGGATTGAACCCAGTGCCTTTGCACTGAGCTACATCCCAAAACCCCTCCCCCCCCCTTTTAGGCAGGCAATTGCTAAGTTTCTGAGTTGCCCGAACTGGGTTTGAACTTGTGATCCTCCTGCCTCAGCCTCCCAGAGTGCTACAATTACAGATATGCACCACCATGCCTGGCTTGTGAACAGATAACATTGAGTTTTGGCAAATTATGCTGTTGTGTAATCACCACACCAAAATATAAAGCATTCCATCATCTCCCAAACTTCCCTGTATCCATTGGTAATCCCCTTCCCTTCACCCCTAGCAAACATCAATCTTTTTTTCCTAAAGCTTTGCCTTTTCCAGATTCATATAAACAGAATCATACAGTGTGTGGTCTTTTCTGTAACCTCATTCATGTGACATATTTTTGAGATCCCACCATTTTATTGCATGGCTCAGTAATTTTTTTACATGTTTTTTTTTTCCTATTTTGTGGTACTGAGGAGTGAGTCCAGGGTCTTCACACTGAGGTACATCCCCATCCCTTTTACTTTTTTTCTTTTTTTCTTTTTTTTTTGGTACCAAGGATCAAACTCTGGACCTTGGGCTTGCGAGGCAGGTGGTGGCACCACTGAGCTACATCCCCGGCCCATCCCTTTTATTCTCTATTTGAGACAATCTCACTAAGTTGCTAAATTGCTAGGCTGTTCTCAAATTCTTTATTTTCCTGCCTCAGCCTCCCAGAGTGCTAGGATTACAGGCATATGCCAAAACATCCATTTTAGTAGTTTCTTTTTATAGCTGATAGTTTTCCACTGTGTGGGAGTACTGGACAACTTGTTTATCTATTCAGCAGCTGGTGGACATGTCAGCTGTTTCTCTTTTTTTTGTTTTACATAAGCTGTTTCTATTTTTTTTTGGTTATTATGAACAAAGCTGCCTTAAACATTTGCATGCAGGTCTTTCTGTTGACACATGTTTTCATTCTTGTGTGAACACCTATTGGTAGGATTATTGGGTGGCATGGAACATTTATGTTTAGTTTCATACGAGTTTGTCACACTGTTATCCAAAGTGATTGTATCGATGCCATAATTTTGATGCAGTCTTATTTGTAACTTAATTTCTCCACTGACCCTTACCCAGAGAAGCTCACCAGACTGGTGATAGTAATGCTTTAGTTTTAAAATAGCAAACTTGTTGACAAGGCATATCATAAAGAAGAGGGCACACCTCCCAAGTAAATGGCTGGATGAATTCTCACAAAGTAAACAATCTACATAACAACACCCAGATCGAGAAATAGAAATCTGTAGGCTCACCTCATATGCCCATTCCTACTCACTCCCTATCTTCCTCAAAACTATTACCTGACTTTTAATAACTTGCAGTAAGAGAATGTACAATTTTAAATTGTAGTATACTTATGTTTCCCACCAGTAAAAAAGACCAAATTACTTATACACACAACATTATGAATAAACTTCATAAACACTAATTGAAACAAGACAGACACTAAAATACATAAAGTATGGAGTCCCAGAACTGGCAAAATTAATCTGCAGGGATAAAAATCAGAAAATGACGCCTGGGGATAAGGGTAGTTAATTAGAAAGGAGCATAATTTGAAGATAATTTGTGGGGTGATGATGAAAATGTCTATCTCAGTTTGGCTGCTACTACAAGAATGTGCACAAGTGTCAAAATTCACTGGATTGAATATTTTGTATCCGTGCATTCTATTGTGTATCAGTTATAATTCAATAAAACTAAGTACTGAAAAATGCTGCTTAGTTCTAAAAAATTCTGCCATGAATGTGGCTTTTGGAAGATGTATATGTGCAAATCTATTGAGTATATACTTAGGAGAAGAATTGCTGGGTTGTGGGATACATATGAATGCAGATTCTTCCATTTGCCCAAGTACCTAGAACCTCTGTTTCCTTATCTGTACCAGGGCACTAATCTCACCTCGATGGGGGCAATGGAAAGACTTTTTGTTAATTAACAAAAAGATATTGTGGAGAGATCTTATTCTCTAAAGTCCTAGATTTTTAGAAAACTTGCTGCTTGAAGTGTCAGTAAGAATAGAATATTCTGTTCTTACCTATAAAATATGAGTTACTTTGACACAGAGAAGCAGCCTCAGTTTCTAACCCAGGTGCAGAGCCTCAGATAAGAGGTTTCCAAATACAACATTCCATATTTATCTTCACATTGTAATTTCCGAGGAAACAGGATCCCGGGTCTTCTTGTTAGCTCAGGCCTGATGATAATCCCTTTACACATAAGCTATCAAAACATTGCTTCGAGGCTGCAGAAATGGCTCAGTCATAAAGCATTTACTTAGCATGCTCAAGGCCCTAAGGTTGATCCCCAGTATCTCAAAAAGTATTGGGGGCTGATCAGTCCTCCTATCTGCATAGAGGGATGTGGAGAGGGCTAAAGAAAGAAAAAGAGACACACTTTCAAAGTACATGGGGGGCTGGGAGGTGAGTGCCAGAGTAGGCAAAGACAAAGACACTCTGAGTTAGCCACTATTTATTGGGTGCACTTCAGGTGACTCTGAGGGTGGTGGTAATCCTATGGTGATGAGGATCCTAGGTTGATGAGGATCTTAGGTTGATGAGGATTGTAGGCTGTTGAGGTGAGATGGGCAAAGCATTCTTACAGTTGTAGGTGGGATGAGATAGCAGGCTAAGAAGGAATTTGTCCTTTTCCCAGGTGAAACCTTTTTCTTTTTATTATTACTACTGGATTCTCAAGGAACCAGGATGTCTTCAGCTGATGTAATTTTGCCCTGGAGTGTCACAGCATCACAGGACCATTGAGGCCTCAGCTGTGACCGGAGGCACACAGAGTTATGTTTCCACATGCCATAGCCGGCCCTCATGGAGAGACATTAGGCCTCAGACAGCCCTACCGATAATTTAATTATGACACGATTTTCCTTCAAAATTATACAGCATGTCTCTTAACAGAAAAGAGCAAAAGAAAACAAACCCTCTCCCAAAATACAGCTTCTTTTAAATTCTACCTACACTCCATCTTTCCTCCAAATTCTAGAATGACTTACCCTCTTCCTGTGTTTTGGTGACATGCCACATGATTCCTCCTCTGGGCAGTTTCCTTGGCAGCAGCAAGTCAATAAACCCAACTTTGTCAGACCACAGGTGGTCTTTATCAGATGGCTTTATTTTGGGACTTAAGTAATAGTGAATGCAAAATATGTTTGCTCCATTTGGCACCTAATAGGCATTTAAGAAATGGTAAAATTAGTTTTTATTATTCATGTGTTGGTTTAATAAATGTTTATTTGATGTCTAGTATTTGCAAGACACAAATTTACTGCTATGAGAGATACACAGATGAAAAAAATCACTTCAAGTATTAATTTATGCAACACTGAGGATTGAATCCAGGGCTTCTGCACTGAGCTACATTCCCAGATTTTTTTTTTTTTTTTTGGTACTGGGGATTGAATTTGGGTCCTTGCGCTTGCGCAGCAGGCGGCGAAACCACTGAGCTAAATCCCCGGCCCTCCAGACTTTTCTTTATCTTTTACTTTGAGACAGAGTCTTGCTAAGTCACTGAGTTGCCCAGGCTGGACTCCAGCCCTCCTGTTACCCAGTTGGGGTTCTTGTCCAGGCTCTTGATGTCTTAAACAAAGAACTGAGCAGGACACCCAAGAATTGCAGCAGGATCAATGATTTATTTGCAAGAGAAAAGACAAGATACACTCCACAAAGTGTAAGCATTCGAGTAAGAGAGCTCAAGGCCCCAAGAGGGGCTAGGTGTTTGGGGTGGAGCAGTGGAGTTTTTTTACCTTTTATGTCTCATAGAGGAACTGTTCTGGGGTACAAAGCCGACAGAGGGATCAAATCATAGTCAATGTCATGGTAATTAGGGTTAGGCTTGGCCAAGAGTTGCAGAAAAACACTTAGGCACCTGCTAGGGGACTGACTGTGTATCAGCTAGGTTACCTGGTTACGCTTTCCCATTGTGTTTAGAGCTGGGCATCCTGATCCTGGGCTAATGTTTAACTTACAAGGTGGATATAGTGCCAGAAAGGGGGCTCCAAGGCAGGCCCTCCCTTCTTTCCCAGCCATTTTCTTGGTTACCTGATGCCTCAGATCTAGCTTAGAAGCAGGCTCTAAAGCTTCCCAAAGTGCTTGGATTGCA